TACCCCGGGGACGAGACCCACCTACAGGAAGGGCGTCACCGAGGGAACCTATTAACTGTACGATAATCAAGATGTTGGTGTCGTGTGTGTTATAATCCCATGGTGTCATAATGGTGTTGAAATATTGGTGTCATAAACGAGTTAAAACAATGGTGACATAATTTCGGGTCTGTGTGAACTATGAAACAGCGGTGCCATACGTTAATGAAGGTAGTGGTGTCAGAAATTAGCTGTAAATTGTGTCATAATTAAGTGATAAGTGATGTCATTAGGAGCCAAATTCTTAGTGTCATAATATTGATCCCGGTTTGTGTCATAATTGACTCGAAGTAAAAGTGTCACAATCCAGGTGTGTCATATTTGAACTAAAACAGGGAGGGTGTACCGTAGTATGACAAGGAGGGTGTACCGTAGTATGACAGGGAGGGTGTACCGTAGTATGACAGCATGGGTGTACCGTAGTATGACAGGAAGGGTGTACCGTAGTATGACAAGGATGATGTACCGTAGTATGACAGGGATGATGTACCGTAGTATGACAGGGAGGGTGTACCATAGTACGACAAGGAGAGTGTACCGTAGTATGACAGAGAGGGTGTACCGTAGTATGACAGGGATGATGTAGTATGACAGGGAGGGTGTACCGTAGTATGTACCGTAGTATGACAGAGAGGTGTACCGTAGTATGACAGGGATGATGTACCGTAGTATGACAGGGATGATGTACCGGACAGGGAGGGTGTACCGTAATATGACAGGAGGGTGTACCGTATATGACAGGGATGATGTACCGTAGTATGACAGGGAGGGTGTACCGTAGTATGTGTACCGTAGTATGACAGGGATGATGTACCGTAGTATGACAGGGGAGTGGTAGTATGACAGGGATGTATACAGTATGACAGGGAGGGTGTACCGTAGTATGACAGGGAGAGTGTACCGTAGTATGTGATGTACCGTAGTATGACAGGGAGGGTGTACCAAGGAGGGTGTACCATATATTACATAACGAATCTTGGTAAAAGTCATACTGCGGGTTAGGAAAGAAGGGCAATATATGTGTGTAAGAGAGAGAGAGAGTCGAGACGGTGAAGGGAGGATGTGGGGCGGTGAAGGGCGAGACAATGACGGGTAATGAAGGGTAAGTGGAGGAGAAGGAGGTGGTGGTGAAGGGAATGGGGAGAGAAGAGAGATGGAGAGAACAAGAGAGGAGAGGTTGAAGAATTGAATAGAGCAATGAGAGAGGAAAATGGGGTATGGAATGAGGCGGCTTTTGATTTGGTGAGAGAGAGAGAGAGAGAGAGAGCCCTTTCACTAATATCCGGCCAATAGTCTCGTCTTAAATGGATCAAGCATGAATTAAACGCGTGTTGAGGAAACGACTGAAGGTTGTTGTTGGGAGGGAGGAGAGGGGGGAGGGAGGAGGAGGGAGGGAGGAGGGAGGAGGGAGGCAAGGGAGGAGGCAGCGGTGGCACTATAATCGCTCTTTACCGATAACACCCAATTGTCGACTTAATGGGCGGAGCGGCAGGCAGTTCCCGGGTGGACAGGCGGATGGCGGGATGGGTGGGTGGAGGGATGGGCGGGTGGTGGGGTGGTCGGGTGGGTGACGGGGTGGGTGGGTGGATGGGTCGCGTTGCCACTCACTGGGGCGTTATTTCCTGCCGTTGTTAATAACGCAGGAGGCTCGCACGCTCCGCCAGGGATTATATCTGCCTCCCTGTTTTATACACACGAGATGGAGACTTTCTGAGCCCGGCAGAAAGAGGATTACTGTTAATTGTGGGTTCTGGGGTGGGGGCGTTGGCTGTGGTGAGGGAGGATGTTGGGTGATGAGGGAGAGGGTGATGGTGATGACTGGGGTGGTGGTGGTGGCAACTGGGGGAGTGGGGGTGATGACTGGGGGAGGGTGGTGGGGGTGATGACTGGGGTGGTGGCAACTGGGGGGGTGGGGGTAATGACTGAGGGAGGGTGGTGGTGGGTAGGAGACAGGTATGTATCGTCAAAAGATGTCAATAACTTTCCTTCTCTTACTGTCAGTCACACCTAGTAGTCTCCTCCCCCCTACCCTCACTCATGGCCATCTCTGATCTTGTTTGGTTTTATCATCTTCATCTCCACCTCTACTCTCCTTCCCTCTTTTATCTTCCCTTAAATTCCTCTTCGTTCTTTACCTTCAACCCAATTCATTCTCAACACATGCCTACTTCATTCTCCTCCCCCACCCTCTCCATTCTCTAACATCCACCCACTTCAATATCTATTCCCACCCTCTTCTACTTCTCCCTTTCCTCATTCTATACGTTACCCCCCATCCCCCTCACCCCCTCCCCCTCTTCATCCACTGTCTACAAGCACACTCCACTCCACTCCTACCTCCACACCCATTCTTCTCCATCCACCATCTATGTAAATATACTGTCCCCTCGTCTCCCTCTGTTACTCCTACACTCTATCTCCCTCCCCTTCTCTACACACACACACACACACTCTTTTTAAATGTAATCTCAGTAAATATATCTCTACCTTAACCCCCTTCCCATCTTTATCATCTTGCGCCACACACACACGCACACACACACAAACACACACCACACACACACACGCAGACACACACACACCACATCACACACACACCACACACACACATACATACACCACACACACACACACTTACACTTCACCTCGTATGGTCAACAGCTCTGCGACAGCCCACCATCACTTTTATCACCATCGACCGAGCCAGACCAGCCCTCACCACCGTCACTTTGTCGCTGCCCTGCCACACACACACATATCGACCTGGACTTTGTGCCGTGAGGAATGGATACGTATTAATACAGGGATTAAAGCTCCACAACTGTCCACAAGCCGCTTCATTATGTAAAGTGCAGTTCTTGTTCTGTAAGTTTATTTTTACACTCGGGTATACAACACGAGTGTGATTACTAGAAATAAAACGTTATTTTGGGTCATTATGCAAAGTTCACTTCTCGTTCTAAAAGTTATACAAACATACGTGTAAAGTTTCATTTCCTTTATAGTCTGAAAAAAAATAATACTCACATCTTTTCAGCCTTATCATTTGCAATACATCAACCAGTTGTTAAATGACAACAAAACTGAGTCTGTACAGTACTTCAAGATTTACAAACTAGTGATGTTCAAAATATCCTCCACGAATGTACTAACTACGGGTATTTACATTTAATACTGACATTGTGTTTCTGTATTTATATGGAGAGTAACCAGTTATGATGTTTACTTCACAGTGCCATATATAATTCACCTGGGGTACGATGCTAGCATGAGAAACCTGACGTTAATTACCAGGTGCTTACGGGACCCAAAGCTTCACTTACATCACAAAGAACAAAGGCCATTGCTCCACCCGCCTGGAAATTAATTATTGAAGGTAATCGCAGTAAAGTTTCGTGTTTCGTTCGAGCCCGCTCACAAGGTGTCCCCTTCCCCTCCTTACAAACACCCCACCCCTCCGCACTCCCCCCCACAGTCCCTTCCCTTCCTTCGACCCTGTAACCTCCCCTCCGACTAACACTTCCCCACCAGGGTCCTGCCTCCCCTAACACAACCATCGACTGCCATTCCCCATCTGGAATCGATGTTAGATTAAAATTTCATAGAGGATATAAATCATATGAGATGGGGAATGTGTATAGCGAGTGGTCGGTAAACGCTCTCTCATTTTTACACAGTATGATATAGTAACTGCTCTACCGGCTCACCACCTTACATTATTGAGTACGATATATTTATGAATTATTTATGAAATTCGTTTTTTATCCAGTGTTCTTTTATACCGAACAAATGACACCCGTGACCACTTTTCACTTAATGCACAATGTAACGAAAGTTAAAATTCTGTGACTTATTCATTATCATTTAATTAAACAAATTAGGATCACTTGAAGAGTAAGCACCACAGTTAATTACACCTGATGATTAAACACCCTAGCGTTACCTGGAAGGTTATCGTTAGGGTCTTTAATCGCCAGGTGAAGCTTGGGTGTCTAATCTTCACGTGATCAAAAAATAATCTATGATCTACATAAAACTTTAACATTATTATTTGATCTTCGTAAGTGAAACAAGTAATGAAGCAACACACGATACATTACAGTTATCACAATTGCAATTCAAAACCAACAATCATTACAAAAAAGGCGAGAAAAACTGTCCACTACTTCCTCCAGTCGCCGCTCAGGTTGATCACCAGTCACCCACCATACGTGTTTATGTAGGAAAATTGACCGTATTAAGACGCGACCTGAGGCGCTCCGGAAGTTGAAGATCGAGTACCGGGCCGCGCTGGTGTGACAAGTCTTGGACTGGAAACTTAATCTCAGGTCTTCAACTTCTTAGTGTAAACTGCATAATCCCTTCTTAAGTTAAGTTTACTACGGGTTAAATCTGTATTTCTTGGGGGCTTCCAGTCTCTGCATCAGCTGCTGTCCATCTAGGACGACGGCTATTGAAATCTGACACCATGACCAAAAGAACAAGAAACGTCGTGTCCGCCCTAGTGTCCGCCGACCCACGACTGTTTGCTGCAGGACAACCTCTCGAAGAAATGTTTCTACCAGCGGAGGGCAAAACCACCACCACCGGTCTCAGCGGAATGCGCCGACGTGTCGGGTTCCAAACTAAGGATATTTTCTTTGTGGGAGGGTGGCTGGTGATTTCTTTGTGATCTTTATGCCCCAATGACCGCCCGCATGCCCAGCTAGACGCAGCTGCTACGCTTCCTTTGTCACACACCAGTTCCAACTCTCACAGATTTGGAACTCAAAATATTTGTTCGAAAAGCATATTGGAAAATTTAAGAGGATATATAATTTTTAATTCATTATTTATAGAATATATATGCATTACATAAAAAATAACTGACAGAAGGCAAAAATAACTTATTCGTCAAAGCCGTGAGAGTTAGTGCGCACGCACCCATCTTCTGTCGCGGCCCATCTGCTGGGATCAGTCAGGGTTTGCACGTCAGAGAGGGAGCACGTTTCTTGAGCCGCTGAGTGATCTCCCATGTGGTGTCTGTGGTGTTCCATGAAGTGTTGGTAGTGGTGGCGAGAGGAAAGATGGTGTCGAGTGTATGTCGCGGGTCATACCCTAGCATGACCCCACATGCGTCGCCCTCGCGGAAGCCGCACATCGACCCGCAGAAGGATTATTTTTCGCCGCTGCAGGTGGAGACGTCGGTGGAGTATGACCTTCCAGCACACATTTACCCTCCCAAGGGCTCTCAGCCCATCCTCATGATCCACCCAGGGTATGTGTCAGCCGTGCGAGCGAGGTCCAGAGCTGTGGTTACGCCCTCCCCTACAGCCATGGTAGCCACCTCAGGGGCGGCGCGACCTCTAGCTCAGCTCCAGCTGCCGCACCCTCAGCAGCACCAGCAGGTGGTGGGGGCGCGGCCCTCCCGCACCGCACAGTCCCGCCCCTGGTGTATGTGTGGTAACCCTAACTGTAATTCCTCTAGTGTCAAATCAGTCAATGTACAGAGTGTTAGAAACGTGCAAAATGTTCAGAACCAGAGTGTGGCGAGAAGCATTCAGAGCCAGAGTGCCGCCAGAAGTGTACAGAGCCAGAGTGCCGCCAGAAGTGTACAGAGCCAGAGTGCCACCAGAAGTGTACAGAGCCAGAGTGCCAGAAGTGTACAGAGCCAGAGTGCAACAAGAAGTGTTCAGAACCAAAGTGCCAGAAGTGTGCAAAGTGTTCGCGATGCGAGTATGTTGGGCATCAGCAGCAGCAGAAGTGGTGCTGTGTTATTACAGCAACAGCAACCACAGCAACAGCAGCAGCAACAGCAACCACAACAACAACAACAGCCACAGCAGCAGCAACAGCAGCAGCAGCAACAACCACAACAGCTGGTGTGGGGTAATGGTGGGCGGTGTGTTGGTCCTTGTTGTAACCCACGGGCGGCCGCCATGGCTCCTCCTCAGGCAGAATTTGTGGCTCCTGGTCTGCCGCCCTCTTTGCTCGCCCGCACGCCCACCAGAGGTACTGCAGGCGGCTCCCCCAAATTGCGGGCGGCCCGGACCAGACGTGGGCTGTCTGTGGCCAGCAGTGTCAACCTGCCGGATTACCTGGGCAGCTCTCGACCTGCCAGGGTGACAGGCGGTGCTGTCCATGTACACCCACGCCCACGGGCTTTATCTACCTCTATGGGTGCTCTTGCCGCCACGCCCGCGCCGCCCATGGCACATCAGCATATTGGCATGGGTGCCTCCCTCACCACCTCTCTGGACCTGGCGAGGGTTGACCCACTCACCCCACGGTCCTTACTGCCCGTCCAGCAGCAGCAACAGTCGGTGCAGCAGGCGCCCACGGGGTCCACCTCGTCGCTCCTCTACACTGTGGGTCTCTCCAGGGACTCCGGGTGTTCCATGGGCGCCGACACTGCGGGCGGGGATTGGGCGTCGGACCGTACTCGTGGCCTCGTCGATTCAGGGTTCTGCACGCCCGTCGACCTCACCGACGATTTTGTGACAGGTGAGAAACGAGAGTATCTGTGGTTGTCAAACTCCACGGCCTAGTCATACCAGCCGTCAACACGTGTGTGTGTGTTTGTGTCAGCTTGTAAACATTACCATTCTGGTTAAATAGCAGTCTGTTATTTTGTTCTGTCATTCGGTGTGTTACAGCCCTTCAGGTGTTACTTGTGTTGCCACAGTGTTGGTTAATTCGTTATTTTCGGGGAGTCGGTTAGCGAGGATGAGCCGAAGGTCAAGTTTAAGTTGCCGACTCAGTGTTGCCTTAAGCTTATGTTTGCTTGTTTCCTCCCGCGCTGAAGATGGTGGTGCCAGTGTTGTTATCCCGGTGCTCGCTCCGGTGTGTTGTGTTGTGTTCCACTACCTAACACTTCGTCTTAACTCAAGAGCTTCACTGTCTGTCTCTCCCCCGATCTCAATATTCATATAAATGTACAGCCCAGACAGTGTTTTGTTATGTTATTAAAATCAGGAAATTTTTCAAAGTTCAGATATGTATATGTATTTTTTGTTGTTAAATTTTTTACCTTATATTATGAAGTGAAATGTGAGTCGATTTTATCTCAAAACACGTAGTGACACACTTTCATTACTTATCATTTTGTCTTAAACCGAATTCACACTAATTCGTGTGTGTGTGTGTGGTAGAGTTCAAGGCTCCCTGCAGGACACATGGTCGACCAGCCATGCTTGGCCCTGGGAACTCTGCCTCCACGTCTTACCTCACCATATTATTTCTTCTCTCTCAACTTAACATAATTCTAAAGACGAGTTAGTGAGATGCAATCAAGAGGATTCGATGATGAACACCCACGGTCGACCCTGTAATGGGCTCATGTGCTTGTTTATATGACTCTTCAGCACAAGGTTTAGAGGGATGGCATTTCTTTGGCCGCATAAAATATTTTTCATGAGCTTATTTACAGAACCAGAAATAAAGTTGTGTAGGGTGTGAGGACCTTCCCCACCACCTGTCAGACGGGTGGTGCCAGTGGTGCGCGGGACACGACGAACGCATATTTCTTATTTAAAATTAATATGGTGAAGTATTCGAAATTGATTCTTGGTGGAAACTTCATTCATTTATTAATGCAGTATTTTTTCAACTCGGCTGTTGTCAAGTACCAGCCTCGGCTCCTCGTAAAAAATAAGTGGAATATTGACCACTTGGCAGCTCTCCCAGGAATCGTAGCATATATGTGATTTTTCGGGTTATATTATCGTCGAGGTCTCTTTATTGCTCCTCACGAGCTCGTCACGACATATAGTAAACACTATATAAATACATCAACACATAATTAATAAAACGGAAAGTAGAACGACGACGGGGAGTGGAAGTCACTGATAAAAGACTACTTGGCATCTGAGGCAGGAAGGAAGCTGTGGGCGCAGCGGGCCAACAATTCTTCAGTGTCGCCTTGGGTTGGGGCGGTCTGGTCTATCCCCCACGTCTGCCGGTCCACGCCCTTATATTCTAACAATGGGTCTGGCGTGGGCGGGGGTCCGGGGGAGCCAGTTTTTAGAAGTTTTTATTTCTGATGATTATTGATGGGCTGCTGATACTTCATGACATAACGAAGGGTTGGGCGTAGTTTATATTGGAGTTTTAAAGATTTTATGTGGCTGTTAATGTTTTATACATATTATAGTTTACTGGGGGTGGATCACAGTTACTACTGAGCTCAGGAGGCAGCTGTATAGCATGACAGCCTGTCATTAGTTGTTTGACGTGTCTCTGACTACAGTATGTGATCAGTGAGTCAGGTCGCCTCTCTCATGAGTCACTTCCACTCTCACACCTTGCTGTCAGTGAGTCAGGTCACTGTACTCACGAATGTTGGTTTTGTATCTCCTGTGAGCTCTTATCTTTTTTTACTGATCTTACCATTCGGTATATTTTTCCTTTTAGTTTCTATGTATAATGGTACGTGTCTGTCAACAGTCATTGGTTAGTACAGCGTTCGTAGGAGTCTGTGATTCGGTACGAATGTGTCCGTGTCTGTAGTATGTTTGTGTACCTAATTACCGTCACTGTCTCGGGGGACGTGACGGGTCCTGGTGCCTGCTGGAGTAATTGGGGAGGGGGGGGTCCTATTTGGGTAACGACCCCCCCTCCACAAGCTGTGTCTGTCAGGCCACTACAAAATTGGGAACCTTTATTATGTTAAGCGGTTAAGGATAATGGCTTTAGTGCGCCTGTCTTAATTCTCATTCTTGACACTGAATATTCATTATTTTATCAAGTAATACTAGAGTAATGTAGACTTGTTTTATAGGAGCTAGAATGGTAAGATTCATTAAGCTAAGTTTATGGGCTTTAATGGTTCGTAATCGGGAACATCAATATTGCATTCCGATGTTGTGAGATGAGGTAGATATTTGTAGAGGCAAAGATCTATCTATGTGCTAATGAACAATTTACAGGGTGTCAGACGAATGACTGGAGGCAGCGCTGCAGTACTACCAAACTCATAATTTTTATATCCTGGACTATCTTGGCCAGACCTCTTCCTCCCCTCCCCTAGTAATAACGGGAATGGGGTGGTTAGGGTGTGCTGCGTTGGCGGTCGATCCCCACATGTTTAATAGCTCGTCTGCTGGCTGGCTGGGCTAGGCAAGGTTTAATTTTTTTCTATTATTATTTGCTGGATGGTTGTAATGTTTGCTTGGGGGGGGGGGGAACCATCCAGGGAGACGACTGCACACGAGTATATCAGCGACTACACGACTTCGTATATGTCATTGTGTGAACAGATTTCATGGCTTAGAATATTGTTTACATGATGACCATATTAGAAAAATATGTCCATCTGCTCATTAATGTTAGGTATTTTACGTGTTATATGAAACTTATCAAAGGTATCATTAACTGCATTTATATTTTTACTATAAAAAAAAAATATATATATATATATAACATACCAACTTGAAATGTTTACTTTTGGATCAACGTGATAAGCCAGTAGTGCTCGTTAATATAAACACCTACATTATAAGTTTTTAATATTCAGTAATTAAATACAAAAACTTTTTCCGATTTAAGATGTAAGGAGATTAGTTACCCTTCCTCGTGTGTGCCTCTCTTTCCCTCCCTGGTTTCCATTCTTTCCCTTCCCCCTCCCCCACACACCGGGGACGGAGGGAGGGGACGGTCTGGCCCAGATAACTGCCATGTGGAGTACCGACTGACCCCGTGCGGGCCACCCTACACTGAGGGGACAGCCACCACCCCTGTTATTACACTGTATGGCACTCCACTTATCAGCTGCGCGGTGCCTCTCTCACTTTACACTAGTTGCTGATACACCGAGTGTTGGAGATAAGGAGTAAGTCTTGGTTATCTGAGTGTTGGAGATAAGGAGTAAGTCTTGGTTATCTGAGTGTTGGAGATAAGGAGTAAGTCTTGGTTATCTGAGTATTGGAGATAAGGAGTAAGTCTTGGTTATCTGAGTGTTGGAGATAAGGAGTAAGTCTTGGTTATCTGAGTGTTGGAGATAAGGAGTAAGTCTTGGTTATCTGAGTGTTGGAGATAAGGAGTAAGTCTTGGTTATCTGAGTGTTGGAGATAAGGAGTAAGTCTTGGTTATCTGAGTGTTGGAGATAAGGAGTAAGTCTTGGTTATGTGAGTGTTGGAGATAAGGAGTAAGTCTTGGTTATCTGAGTGTTGGAGATAAGGAGTAAGTCTTGGTTATCTGAGTGTTGGAGATAAGGAGTAAGTCTTGGTTATCTGAGTGTTGGAGATAGGGAGTAAGTCTTGGTTATCTGAGTGTTGGAGATAGGGAGTAAGTCTTGGTTATCTGAGTGTTGGAGATAAGGAGTAAGTCTTGGTTATCTGAGTGTTGGAGATCAAGGCCAGTTGTTTATTTATTGATTGTCATCTAGTAACTGTGGAACACCGTTTATGTAAAAGTTCCATTACTTCATTGTTCACCAGGGAGTGGGGGGGGGGGTTGTTGAGGGTCATTTACTTCAGTAGTAGTCTGGGGAGAGGAGGGAGGGGGGGGGGTAGTAGGGGCTCACCCACGGTCGTTTGTCTTCTCGCCGTCATGTCGGGGTTCATCTTTATGCTTGTATTTTATTTCACCATTTTCTATCCTTTATGAATCGTCAAACTCTGGCGGGCGACATTCGAGGCAAGACGGGCGGCTCATTGGGGTAATATCTCCCGAGTATTACTGCTGCTGGAACGACTAGTAATATCACCGTCCCCAGCTCCAGCCTCTGACAGTGCGTCCAGTATCGGTTACAAAAAATAAATAAAATGAAAAATATTTAACAAGAAGAACCAAACACCTATCTACCACGCTGAAGTTTCGTTATGTTTACACAAATGTTTTACTAATCATAAAAGAGTCACAATAAAAACGAGGTAACTTGGTATTAAAGTCTTGAACGTTTGCAGTTAAAAGTTGTAGATGGCCTGCAAGTTGGGTGGTGAGGGAAATATGTTGGTTCACAAAGGTGGGATCCTTGTTATGGTTGGGCCGTTCCCCCACCGCTTTATATTATATGATTAAACACATTCCCGTGGCCTAAAATACATCGTATATAATAATACCGTGGCTACTTTATCGTGGTGTGGCCAGCAGGAATAAATCGACATGGCGGCGCTGTAGCATAATCTGAACATATGGGAACCTAATCCCAACTAATCTCCCTGATATATACCTATTTATGAGTCGGCGACAAGCTCGATAGCGAGGCGCCGTTCCATTTAACAATCCCTCGCTCTCTCTCTTCCTCTCCCCCGTGTCTCTCCTGGTTACATCAACGGCTCTTAAAACTCCCCTCCTCCTCCCGCCTCTCTCCACGCTCTGTGTTCCCACGCCGAGTCCGTTTACTGGGGTTAGCTTTATGAATATATTATCATAGGTAATACACGGCCATGGTGCGGCCAGCAGTCGGGAGGAGAGGAAGTGTGGGGCCAAGGAAACGAAGATGAACAATGCTTCGATTTCGGGAGAGGAAGAGAAGGAACCAAAACAGAGTTAATCAATCCCTG